TGGGGTGTGGGGAGCAGGTCCCTCAGGGTGGGCCCTTGGGGAATGTCCACAGGCAGATATCCTTAGGTGGGAGAGGCTCCTGCCACCGCCACTGTGCTCACCAGTGGCCAGACTTGTGGCTTTGAGCGTCTGCCCCTTGGTGGTCAGTGCACATAACAGTGACTGGTCGCCCCACCGTTTGGTCAATTTGCATAATACCCTTTTATTATATAGGATAGTTGGATTTTTGGATTGAAGTTTTCCTCTGGTAATTTTTAATATATAACTTAACTTTGATTCATTATCCTAATATATTTAGCATTCTTCTATTGATTGAATGTTTAAGATGGCAGTCAAAGTTTATAAATCTATGTCACTGTACCATTTATCTTCAGTGTTTCCCAAACTTTTGACATATGTGTACCCCTTCTATAACTTTTGTAATGCTGAGTACCCCTCATACTCATGAGAATGTAGGATTAGGCACAGCTAAGCACGGTGCAGTGCATATCCCCACCAAACTCCGGTGCAATGCGTACCCCCACCAAACTCTTCCCGTACCCCTGGGGGTACGCATATCACACTTTGGGAAACACTGAAGATGATAATTCATAGCGTGGAATTACAGAAATTAAGAGCTTGCTAGATCTCTTGGGTTTATTTGATTTCCCTGTTTCTACCGTCATCTAAGAAGATACAATTTGTTTTGTCACAACTAATTCTTAGAAAGCTTAGTTGCTTCCTAGAGATTACTGCTTACTTTCTAAGTGCTCTCAAAATATACTTTCATAATGTGATCTAGGCTCTAAAAACAATCAAGTGAAATATTCTGTGTGGTTTTCGGTTGCCACAAAGTTCCCATTAAAATTAGGAATCTCTTTCTTCTAGATTTTAAAAAAAATATATTTTATTGATTTTTTACAGAGAGGAAGGGAGAGAGATAGAGAGTTAGAAACATCAATGAGAGAGAAACATCGATCAGCTGCCTCCTGCACACCTCCCACTGGGGATGTGCCCGCAACCAAGGCACATGCCCTTGACCGGAATCGAACCTGGGACCCTTCAGTCCGCAGGCCGACACTCTATCCACTGAGCCAAACCGGTTTCGGCTTTCCTCTAGATTTTTAGGAATCCTCCAATTTTTTTGCTTCTGGAGTTATCATTTGGTTTCATTAATTATGTATCATTGAAAAGTTCTCTTAATGTTTTATAATCACCAGAAGATTTGAGCTCATTCAGAGCCTCCTACTTCTGTAACAATTATCTTCACCTTTATTAGCCTTACTTATTTCCTAATAATATTTTTAGGATAGAGATCATTTGCTCTGAAGGAGAAACTTGAAATAAAATGACTTGAAGTATGCACAGAGAAATCAAATTGCATGAAGAGCATATGGAAAATGGATGCCTAAGTGTGAGTCTACTTAACAAAAACCTACTAGCCATGAAGATAAGTTGAACATAAACCAGGCATGCAGTGCTACAGCTGGAGCTGTGAATTACACAAAATAACATGAGACCATATATATTTTTTTCATACTTAGCCAAGGCAAGATCTCTTTGGGCACTGAATCCAATTCTTATTAAAAAATAAAATTGACACCGCACAAGTGTAAATAAGCATGTGTTTGAACAGTATAACTTCTGATCAGAGGATCAGCAGAGAGAAAATGAAGATCCTCCCTGTGAGCATTTTTTAGGTTCTGAAGGATGAGCCCGAGATAATGTCAGAGTGTTACATAATCATTTAGGTTGTCAATCAGTGGCGCATGAAAGAGGCCATTCCCACCATCCCTCACATCTCCTGAATATCATGAGCCCTCTGATTATTCATTCAGTCCACAGATATTTTTGGACAAAATTGTAATGTGCCAGACAGTGGGTTTGGTAGCTATAGGAGGCAGGAGAAGGCAGATGTGGTTCAAGCCCTCAAGAAGTGATGGCGTGCCTGTCCCATGCATCATATGCCTCCTGTAGATGGTTAGCAAAAGTGACCTCGGTTCTCTCCCTCTATCCACTCCCCTTTGCAATGTGACAGCAGCATCTACCACCCGTAGGCAGAGTCTGCTTGCCACCTCTTGAATCTCAAACCTGTGCCCACTGTGCAAACAAGCCTGAGCTAACATACTGGAAGAGGAAGGTCCGTGTAGAGCTAGCCATTCTTCCTGTGGGCATCCTCAATCTGCTAGTTGATCTAGAACTGTCCAAACCACTGCAGCCCAAATGACTGATCTATAGACTCTCAAACTAAAAAAATAAAATAAAAGTGGTTCCTTTAAGCTACTAAATTTTAAAATGACTTGTTATGCAGCTAAAACTGACTGATAGCTCTTCACCATGTAAGTATGATTCAAAGTTTATTTTGGGTCCAGAATTTTCTCATATGGCTTATCCAATTACCTTGGTAACTGCCAACTCTCCACTTCACTTTGCGCTGTATGGGCACGGTCTCAGTGCACAGCTGTCAGAATATAGACACCCTGGGAAGGTTTGATATTGGCTCTCTGATCTGCAGAATATGAAGTTGACTAATGTGCTTGAGATATGACATATACAGTACAATATATTTCTTGGAGAAAACACAAATACACAGGCAGACACAAACATCTACAACAGTACAAACTTCAAACAAGCAGTTAAAAAGTTAATGCAAATCCAGTTAGCTTTGTTTCCTAGCATAATGGCTCACGATGTTAAACAAACAAACAAACAAACAAAAAAACCACACACACACACACACACACACACACACACACACACCAACCTGTTTGTCACATTCTGAATTTGAACGACGAATCCACTATGTCCTACAGAGACAGCCACAAAGTCTCCGATTCCTCCTTCAAATAATGTTATTATTTTGATGTATTATTGAAACTATCACCAAAGGCTGATGTATCATTCCAGATGCCTGTGTAACTGCTTTGATTCTAATGATCACATTAGTGGCGATTAGCGAAAGGATCTTTGATTTATCTTAATTTTCAAATATGTCAGAGTGTCTTTTCCTCTTTTCCTGGCAGCCGCTCGCTCTTTGTCCAGCTCTCCCAGCTGGGCATTTTGGGAAAGCAGCCAATTCCAGGGCTAATGTGTTTCTGCTGTGATCTGACACTGATGCTGTCTCATGGAGGCAGCAATGGAGATAAGCGCTAATTGGATGCATTTTTAAAGCAAACCTTTTAGTTACTTAGAACAGAGCTTCCCCGATTAGCTTCCTTTCTCCTCTCTCTGGCTATGCAAGAACCACACTGATGTGAAAACACTGCGATTGGAAGGGAGTCAAGGGCACTGCCCAGGGCCATGGAAGGTCAATCGTGCTGAAGTCAGGGGAAATGCTCCAGCAAGCAGGGGGCTGAATTGCTGGGAGAACAGGGCAAGATACGGGGAAGATCAGACGTGACAAGAGGCCCAGACAGTGGGGCAGTGGCCCAGGTACACTACCCTGAGCCACACCCTAAAGTGCCAGAAAGCAGAGGGAAGGTGTGGGTGGGCACTCAAGGAGAAAGAAGCCGTGTTTGATAATGGCCATCATGGTCTCCAGGGGAAGTATTGTGCTTCAGTGGAACATATTTCAATTTTAGAACGGAAACTTTTACATTGCATTCTTTAATACGTTATCTCCAGGTTGAAGAAAGTCTATTTAAATCCCTGCCCTCTTTAAGCTTCTGATAGCTGCCCAGGAGGAGAGCTACTTAGTAAAGGAAGCAGGTTTGAAGGTCTTGATGTGGAAAAAAAAATAGGGAAAGATGCAGGCTAGGAAACCATTTCTTTCAGGCTTTTATTTCCGAGATGGATTTAGAAGTGAGACATGATAAGTTAATTTCCCTTTGGTTGGAAGTGCGTCTGCCATCATTATCTCCTCCTCCCTGGAGGGTACCAGTTCCTGTGCTCATTTCAGCATTATTTAATAGCAGGGGCATGAGGATTAATGACCCCTCTGGGCCCCAGGATTGCATTAGTCCTGTGGTTAATTGGAAAGGGTGAGTCTGGGTTTGGCTGGGTGGCTGCAGTGGGGCTCAAAGGGGACAGTGAGGTGGGTGTGGTGGGGAGACAGTGGAGAGGAGGCAGCGAACTCTCCCTTCCTCTCTTGCAGTTCTCTTTCTAGGCCTTGTTATGGTACCATCTGTCCCCACAGGCCCACCCTTGGCCCTAGCAACTTTAGCTAAGCGTCTGACTCAAGAGTTTACAGGTAGTTAATTTGAGTTCTGGGTTATAAAACTACACAAGCTGTGATTTTGGGGTGCTGGCAGCATTTGAAAATTTACTTAAATAAACCATAATCATGACGTGATATACTTGATTTACTTTAAAGGCCAGACTCCAAATCATGCAAGCCAGGGGCTTCCTAAGCCAATATTGAACTTAGAGACGGATTTTTCTCTTTTCTCCCTTTTGAATCCTCATTTAATGATAAGATTGTGCATAAATATCTCGACTCTTTCATGCGGGTCATCATCTATACTCTTCTGCATGTAGGAATACATCTTCCAGTAAATCATCATTTCTCATTTTGTCCTTTCCTTTCCTCCTTTGCGGTGACACTGCTTTGCTGGGAACATCTTGTACCTGTCACCAGAGTCAGCAAAGTGCTGACCTTTCTCTTCTACCACAGAGCCAGAGCAGGCCTGGCTTTTGAGAAGTGACAGGGACATTGGAGCGATATGCCTAAAATACATGGCATTGCTGGGGAAAATGAGGCAAAATTTAGATCAGGATCACTTCCACAACACGCTAAAAGTCATTCATTTTGAAAAGAAGACAAGACTGTGGAGATAATGGTTTTTAGAGGCTTACAGGTTTCTAGTTGGCAGGTCTCTAATATAAAGAAAAACATGCAACTATATAGAGCGTGGCTTATGAATGAAGCGCCTCGCCAACACAGTGTGGTCAAAGTGTGGTCTCCTCCTCTCTCTATCTTCATGCGAAACCCCAGACTCCTAGTTGCTGGTCTCTTTCTTATGGGTTGAAATTGTGGATTGGTACAAAGCTCTATCATTGCATATCATCCCCAGTAAGTATACCCAGTTCTAGAAGCTGCATACCTGATGGTTAGTCCTATCCACTGTGTTGGCCGTGGAGGGGTGGTCTCTAGTGTTCTGACGAATCCGAGTGGAGTTTTGCTGCTCAATGGTGGAGGAAGTTGGTATACAGAACTCTCTGAAGCATCGCTTGAAGTTTTCGTCCAGAAACGCATAAAGGACTGGGTTCAGGCAGCTGTTTGTGTAACCCAGAGCAATGCAGAAGTGCCAGGAAACCGTCTGAAAAGTAGTTTCTGGGATTGTGATCAAGGCTTTGATGATGACGTAAATGTGGATGGGGGTCCAGCAGACGATGAACACAGCTACGACCACCAGCACCATCCTGGTGATTCTCCGGAGATTCCTGTCCTTTTCCTTGGAGCCAGAGAGCATGCGGACACTCTTGAGGCGTAAGATCATTAGCCCGTAGCACACCGTGATGATGAGGACGGGCATGATGAAGGCGAAGATGAACACACAGATTTTCAGTAGATTTTCCCAGTACCAGGCTGGGTGAGAGAATGTTAATGTGCAATCTACGGAACCTACGTGAAAAAAGCATTACAAGGAAGAATTAGAAGCACCATTTAATGATTTTAGGTGTTAATATTGCCTTCTTGCTTACTAATTTTCAAGCTTGACATTAGCTAACATAAGGCTATTAGTATACATGCTAGTAAAGGAATACTTAAAGAAACAGTGGGAATAACTCAGCTCTCTGTTGATTTTTAGAAATAAACTTATTTATTTCTAAAGATCTCATTTTGCTGTCCACTTTGGTCACACTAAGTTTTCTTTCAGCCAACAATTATGGACCTCCCGCCATGAGCTATGTCCTCTATGGGGTCTATGTTGATATAAAAAATATATAATCACTGTCCAGAGTCTATAGGACATCCCAGCTAATGAACATCTTCACTCCACTTTTTGATTGGTGGTATATCATTCTGACACGAGGTCTAGAAAGATGCATTTTTTTAATAGAGGCAGCCACTTGAAATTTATCAAACAAGCCTCTGCTGGTTTGGGTTTAAGTTCTAATTACTCTTGGAAGAACTGTATTTTTATTATGTCTCATCATTTTGATGAAATGAAAAGACATCAAGAACCAGTAGATTATACTGGTATTCTCTTTGAAGTGTTTAGTGGGCTTAAAGTCACAGGGAAAATTCCTATTTCAAAAAATATTCAAAGACATTTTTTCTAGAAAGCTATTTTATTAAAATTGCAGTTTGACTAAGACATTGGAACACTCCAAAAAAATTCTAGTTGGCTAATGACTTCACCAACGTTTTGTTCAATAAACTCTCCACCCCTCAGGCCTGCAACCTTACTCACCATGCCTGTACTTTGTTGTGGCCATGAACATCACAGGCAGACCAATGGCTGAAGAGAGGATCCAGTTGCAGACATTGACGATTTTGGCATTGCGGGGCGTACGGAAATCCAGGGCCTTGACGGGATGGCAGACGGCGATGTAGCGATCCACACTCATGGTACAGAGCGTGAATATGCTGGTGAACATGTTATAGTAGTCTATGGAGATCACAATCTTGCAGAGGACGGTTCCAAATGGCCATGTTCCCATGAGGTAATTGACACTCTGGAATGGCAGGGTACTGGTCGCCAAGGCATCTGCCAGAGCGAGGTTGAAGATATAGATGTTGGTGGCCGTCTTCATTTTGGTGTATCTAGAAAATGAAGGAAGAGCAGAGGCTGAGTCAGAAAAAGATAGCAATGTGAAATACTGGTAAACTTCCAATAATTAAAAACAAAAAAAACCCTGCAAGGATTAGCGGAAAGCATTTGAGACTCATTTTATGGAAGAACTGTTTTCTTGGAGAGGGAGAGAGAGAGAAGCATCAATGATGAGGGAGAGTCAACCTGGGCATGTGCCATGATCAGGAATTGAACCATGACCTCTTGGTTCATAGGTGGATGTTCAACCACTGAGCTATATGAGCAGGGCTGTTTTCTAATATTAGATTGGCTATTTATAGCCATGTGCTGATAGGCTAAATAAATAATTTCTCTACCTATCAGTTTTATTAGCTATAAAATGGTCATGATAATAGGTATCATACTGATTTATTTATAACTAGAGTCCCTAAACCCTGCCATGGGGTGATGGTGGGGGTGGGGGGAGCACTGGCACCCATCTTGGCTGGCTTCGGACCTGTGGGTTGGGGGCAGTTCCTGCATTGAGCATCTGCCCCCTGGTGGTCATTCCACTGGTCATTTTGCTATTTAGTCAATTTGCATATTAGGCTTTTATTACATAGAATGTGCCAGGTACAGGTAGCTCTCAGTCAAGTGTCCAGACACTGGATAATTTATTTTAACTATATATATAAATAAAATTCAGATTTTATAGTTAAAATTGTGAAGCATGGGGTGAGAACATGTTCTTATGTCCATCCATGTGCTACTTTTCTGGAAATGAAAGGAGAAATGCTTCCATTATGGCTAAGAGACTTTACTTAACCATGTTTAACTTACACTTTTAGGAAGTGCTTATTTCCTGCTTTATTTGATTTCTGCTCATTCTACTTTAGGACATGAATAGCATTTCTTTGATCAGAAGTTTTGCTTTCTTGATTCATGTATTCTGATATAACTAATATTTATGTTGTATAGACATATATCACTAGGCTAAATCCTCTGATTTATATAAAGCATCATAGTAGGCTTGATTAGCCTTATTCGTTACTTTAAAAATATATTTTATTGATTTTTTACAGAGAGGAAGGGAGAGAGATAGAGAGCTAGAAACGTCGATGAGAAAGAAGCATTGACCAGCTGCCTCCTGCACACCCCCCACCGGGGATGTGCCCGCAACCAACATACATGCCCCTGACCGGAATCAAACCTGGGACCTTTCAGTCCGCACACCGACGCTCTACCACTGAGCCAAACCGGTTTCGGCCTTATTCTTGACTTCTTTGTTTGCAAATATGTAGATTATTCATCCTTAGTCCAAATGACTTCAAAAACAGCATCAGAATATCTGTCTCAGGAGATAGTATATTTGGGATCATAGATAAAGATGTTCTGTATTTCTTATAAATACTTAGTTTTTAGAGCTTAGAAATTACTTGCCTTCAAATTTGAGAGTTCTAAAAGAAAATTAAATTTCTTCTATTTTAAAATCTAGTAGTTGTGTATGTAAAAATATCATGTATACATAATATCAAACAATGTTATACCCCAGGGTATTTCTTATATATTGAAAGAACAACAATGAAAATGACTTCAAAATAGGATAAAATAATTTTACCAATATTAATATTAGAAAATTGTGTTTTGAAGAAACCTGAGTGTATATTGTAGATTGTATAGTGTATATATGCCCTCAAATATTTTAGAGGGCATGAATAGTCAGTAAAATTTTTATCTATTGTACTTAGTACAATAAATATAAAGCTTTATCTATATTTTTGGTGATGATATAGCACATATAATCACTCAATATAAATAAAATATAAAAGACAGCCTGAACATAAAAGTTAAATGAAATAAAGATAGAATTACATTATCCATTTGGCACAGAGCCCAGTACAAGACGAATACAAGTAAATGCTTGTTGAGTAGAATTAAATGAAGGAAGAAGGGTTTGAATGACTTTACTTATTTATTTATTTATTTATTTATTTATTTATTGTGAAACAAACTTAAAAAAAATAAATCTGAAGCTTTTGAAGTAAAAGTGAACATGGAACATTCATTTTGCCTTGTCCATTAGTTGTTAAATTTAAAAAGAACTTTGGTTATACAAGATCATGAATGATGAGAAGTAGGATCTAGAAGGAGCTTTGAAGACCACATTGTATGACCATCTTGCATCATGGCAAGAGAGCCCAAGGGAGAGAACGTTTGAGATTTTCTCCTGTTCCTCTAGATTCCATCTAAAACTAAAAATGTGCCTCTATGTTGTATGCTGGGCCATGTGTAATTCTGGGAGTGCATTTCTGATAATGTTGTAGTTTGTCCCAGAAATTCTTGGCCCACTGTTAACTAAAACAAGGTAAGCATGCAAAGCTTTTCCATATTCTTTTTAAAGATGGCCATGCTGGAGCCATTGGAAATTCCGAGACTTAAAAAAAAAAAAAAGTCCAATGTAATGGCAGAATCACATATTTTTAAAAGAGTACTGAGTTTGTTCTATTTTTTTTGATTCTCTAATAATCTATGGTTTAATACTATCAATTCCAGGACTCACAGTCCATCTCTTCAGTTCTTTGACTGTCTTTCCGACTTTCTTTTGGAACATCTCTGCCTGCTATTGGCTTCTCAAATGCGATATTCCCCAAAGTGTGTTTTTCCTTTCTCATTCACCACCATCTCCACCAATATCACCACAATATAATCAGTAACAATTGTTGGAGCCAGGATTCAAGGCCAGGTTATTTGTGGGTTATTAGCTACAATGTGTTTCTAGTTAATAACCACCTCTTATTATGTTTCTAATTGCTTCTTGTTTCATGAAATAATTTCTTTCATCCCCTGAAGATATTAAATATGGTATTTTAAAGTTCTTGTATGATTGCTATTTCATCCTGTTTCTTTTAAAAAATATATATATATTTTATTGACTTTTTACAGAGAGGAAGGGAGAGAGCTAGAGAGCTAGAAACATTGATGAGAGAGAAACATCAAAGCTGCCTCCTGCACACCCCGCATTGGGATGTGCCCGCAACCAATGTACATGCTCTTGACCGGAATCAAACTTGGGACTCTCCAATCCGCAGACCGATCCTCTATCCATTGAGCCAAACCGGTTTCAGCTCATTCTGTTTCTTTAAGTGTACCGTAAGTTCTTTTGTTTGCTGTGTCTCCCCCCCCCCCCCCCCCCCAACATCTTTCACGGTACAGTCATTCACTAACAATACGATTCTATTGATTTTGAGTTGACCCTTGAAGTTAATATTCCTTGGTAGATTGTTCACTGTTTCTGCTGTGTGGTCTGACCGAGACAGGAGCTGGGATTAGACTGCACCATACGGTTTCCAGGAAGAGGAGAGGATGGAGTGGGCTTGAGGGAGCCACAGTGCACTGGTGGCTAACTTAATCCCCCAGAGCATTGCTGGTCTCCCAGGTACAGCCAGTATCTCTGCCCCAAGCACTGCACCACTTTTTAAATGGACACTGTTGTTTCTGTGTAGCCTATAGACGGGAAAACACACCAGTGGCTACTGACCAGGCTACCACTACTGTGGAAATCCACTCCATTGTGGAAACCCCTTCTTATGAACTCACATTACATGAATGAAGTCATCAATGTCTCCAACACTCTTGACCTGCCTCTGTTGCACCATCACTTCTTTCAAAAGAAGGAGGAATGACTTAAGTTTGTATGTTTAGGGTGAAGAATAGGATATGCATCATTCTTTCCCTTCCACGGTCTCTTCCCAAGGTCCAGCTTCCCAAAGGAAACACATATTGTATCCAACTATTCCAGGTAGCAGGTTTCAAAGGGCGTGGTCCCCATATGAGAAGGTTACCTGTGGTCCAGGTCTGTGACTAGATAGGTTTGTGTATTCATTCTGGGATTAGAATTAGGAAGCTATTATAGTTGCACAGTCAGCTAAGTCACAACCACCAGCAAAGTATTTGCCAACAATAAAGATGCTATTTTTTTTTCTCTATCTGCTGATTCATTTCATCTTATCTCTCAACTTGTCCAAACATTATCAGGGGAAGAAGGAGTGACATTTAATAGGATCTTTTAAACATTTAGGCTGCCTGCCAAGAATTTTCCCCATCATTGTAATAAATTTGTGTATGGCTTTTCATTGATTTATTGCTTTAATTTGTGTTCTTTAAAAGATAATTTCTAAAAGTTGTTCTAGAGTTTGTTCTCAATCAGCCATCCTGAAAATGATACATTGCATAGGAATACCTCTAAATAGGTTTTGAGTATTGTATAAAAGCAAATCTGGCCCTCTTAAAGAACTTAAGAATAACTTTCAACCTTTAGCATGCTTGCACATGAAATCTTAGTCTTGCGTAATAGATGTGACAATTATATATTGAAATCAAGTTTTGTCTTTTAGTCTATAAGCTTCTGGAGTATAGAGACCATGATCAGTTTGTACTTTGCTGCCTGCTTGATGTTTCAGCCTGCAACTATATTATCTCTTTAACTAAGATGTTCCTGTTCATCTCATAGAAATACCTTCTGCTTTCCCATCTCATATCATATTACTACTTCCCACATGGATTTCCATCATTGTCTCCCTCTGTTGGCAGAGTAGAAGAGAGGATGGTATGTAATAGTGAGGTTTGTGTAATGGTGAGAAAGAAAAAAAACTCCTGAGAGCTTTTGGGAAGCCAGTTTAGTTGCTAACAGTCAGACTTTGGTATTTACTTATGGAACATAATTCTTTAGAGCACATGTGTCAAACACAAGGCCCGCGGGCCAAATCTGTCCCGCCAGGCCTTGCAATGTGGCCCGCACCACGCTGTCATCACTGCACTCCGCTGCGTTTCCATCACAATGACAGTTTATGACTGTTCAGTAAACCATTCGGCCCGCAATTTAGGCTGGATTTTAGATTTTGGCCCCTTCTCTGATTGAGTTCGACACCCCTACTTTAGAGTATCAACTTCAGATGAGGACTTTTCATGGCTGTGATGTAACAAGATAAAAACAAGACGCCTCTATAACCAGACCTGACCAGAGGTAAAACCA